TCTCTTTTTCCTATCTGTCTCTCCCCCTCGCTCCCTCCCTCCCTCTCAGAAATGTGGGTTAACTGTTTCTAATGACTTTGTTGGCAGTAAGATTTAAATACAAATTGACTTGGATACAAACTGCTAGTCAGTTATACCTTCCAAAACATATTTTAAGGGTAGCTTACCTTTTCATTTTTTTATGCTATCTTTTGATTTATAGAAATTCTTAATATTACATTAATATGGTACTAAATCAGTCCTTTCCTTTATGACCTATGTTTTCAGTGCCTTTCCGACTCTCATCCTCCCAAATCCTTCAAAGTCCCGAGGTCGTGAAGATATTAAACTATACTTTGTTTTCAAGTTTTACGGTTCTGCCATTCACATTTCGGCTTTTGTTCATTTTCGCATCTGAGATGGGGGCTCAGTGACATTTTTTAACACCACCTTTCCTCCGATAGGTGGTGCAGGCTGTATCAGGCCTCCAGGCTCCACGCACACGAGCTTCTGTTCTGGGTTCGCTACTGACCTGGGGACGCGCCCCTGGGCCTAGGCCACGCTGCCTCAGCTTCCGCAGCTTCGGCGGGGCTGGGAGTCCGCTAGGGAGCCCCCACCTCTTTCCTCTTCAAAACTCCCTTGGCTATTCGAGAGGATTTTCTCTATAAAGGGCTCGCATCCTTTCGGTTGTTGTGAGATTTTTTTCCTAGGTACTTTGCATTTTTTGTCACTTTTGTAGTCATATACTTGAATTACAGTTTCTCAGTGCTGGTGCTGGAGTGAGAAGTAAAATGGACTTTCACATACTGGTTTTTATCAAACGTGCAGTTCAGTATTTACTATTTCATTCTGCAAACGTTTATTGATTGTCCGCTATGTATCAGGAATTTTTGACAGGCCCTGGGGATGCATTTGCAGGTAGAAGCTTCTAACCCAAGAAGCTCCCCTGCTAAGGAAGGGGGAAAGGGACACACTGAGGAGGCGGGGGAAACGGACACGGCTGTGGCCTAAGCACACAGGCAACTGGGGACAAGACAAATCAAGGTGCTCATTATGATAAAAAGACGATCTTATCTTTTATAAGGTCTTATAGTTACTGAACTTTTAAAAATCAATCTACTGGAAATACTCCCAGCGGAACGACGGGATTCCAGGCCTTTCCGTGGAGCGCCCTGTGCACCCTAACCGCCGCCCACCCCCGTGCACACCGCCCGCACTGTTCCGCGGGTTAAGTGCTGAGCAGCGAGGATAATAAATGACCTTCTGGGCGTTTTCGGCGTCTGATTTTATGAACTATAAAATACTTCACCAGCTGAACAGTCCACCAAGTGCATTAAATCTGCTCCTTATAATGCCGTGAAGTCAAAGGACTTCATAATATTTGAGCGTTAACGTTATTACTGAGCGTTTTCATTTTTACGGTTTTGCTTAATTACTTCAAATTAAATCCATCTTGAGAAAGCTGCCACTGTAAAAAACCTACTTCCTTTAATTAATTTTATTTTTCTCGTGATGACTTTTCATTTTTACCTTTATTCCTAAAGGACTCCTTAGGATAAAGCGTTTATAATTCTACTCCATAGTACTTTTAGTAAAGAGATTGTATAAATAAAAAAGACTGACAAATACTAATAAAAGTGACAGGCCTTTGTTATTACTGATGTAAATTTCAGCTTCATGTGACACGTTGGTATAACTGAAATGTTTCAATAAGAAACAGCAATCACATAATGACAGCAATAACCTGACATTTGTTTGGTTCTAGGTATTTTCACAAATACTTTTAGTTCTCATGATCTGATATAATAAGTTTACTTAGAATCATATCTCCAGATGAAGGCATCGAAAAGCAAGTGACTTGCTAAGTTGCATAAGTGGCATTTCTGTACGCTGAACTCAAGTCCACAAACTCAAAATTTCTGTTTTTGTTCATACTTTCAAACAGCGCATTTAGTTCATAAGCCAAATCCTGTTGGCAAGACACCCCCTTAAGGTTAAGTAAAATATATGTGGAGGAACACTAAACATTTTATTCACCTACAATGTCATCATACTGAAACTGAGAAGGTCAGTGTACTTTCCAAATGGCCCAGTTAAATCTAAGGGATAGATTATTTACCCACGAGGGTCTGGACACTGTCAATCAAAATCACTTGTTTACATAGGACTAAAATGTGCTCCATTAGCATCTCTCCATTCCTCACGCTCACAAAATAACTATTTTATTCTTCATTGGCCTCATTGTTTAAAGGTTTCTTAATTTTTTCCTGTTCGTTGAAAACATAAAAAAGATAAAATAAAAATCACCACTAGTCCCAAGTCACTCTTAATATTTTGTGTGTTTCCTTAAAGTTTTTTTTAACACAAAATAGAAATATTCAATACTTGCAGGCCAGTCTCCCTTACAACTCCATATACTGCTATTTCCCCACATGGCAGAGTGGCAACATTTACTTTTAAACGTGACTTTCTATGGTGAATTACATTTCGTCGCCTTCAAGAAGCCTTTAAGCAATAAGGCCAATTAATTGCAAGCATGTACTCTTTACATTCATGTGCTTTAAAAAAATTATTTCTTAATACTAGATTCCTGCAGGTAAGACTCTGAGAAAAAGGCTTACCAGCTTTTCTCAGTATCTGGATATTGTTGAAAATGATGTAAAATACGTTAAACTGAATATCTGGACTTCAAAGTACAAATCGCATTCTGCCCTCAGCTTTTTATCCATCGGTCCTTTTCGTGACTGACAAATACAGACACAAACACACAGGGTTCTGATGACATTTCAGCTAGTTACGTTTTCCATAAATCAGCACATCTTGGCACCATCGGACTAGAGACCAGTGGCCACTTAAATAGGCACATCTTTGTTTTTTCTATTTTTCATTTTAAAAGTCTATATCCACATACCTTTCACGTACAGTTTAGCTTATTTCCCCCTGTGAATCTTAGGCACAGTTTGAGAAGTGTTGTCTGGAACTGCTTCCTTTGGGGAATGCTCTGAAATCCCGGGACGGGCAGAAATTCTGACAGGAGAAAGAAAATGCCCCAACTTACCGTTTCTAACACATTTACACGGTCCTGCAAATAAAGCATAATATACAATTATAAAAACAAAGCTACTAAAATCATTTCAAGTTCACTTAATTGTCAGATTTCCTTTTTATTCTTTAGTGGAATCATTTATTTTTTAAATGTAAAAAATGAAAATTCAGGATGACTTCAATAGAGTTCATCACAAAAGGATCACTATGCCTTTTCTCATCTCAGCAGGAGTTAAGGCTACGGGGTTTAATTTAACAGTAAATACCATATATTCGGGTATAATTAATAAGTGGAATAGATTTTACCTCTTTTGCATTGATAAAATTATTTATATACTTAAGGGTATATACTATTACATACATTTGAATATATGAACCATGACTAGATAATACTAGTGATATAAAAAGCAATTTAGCAATAAATATATCAGCTGTCAGATGTACAGCACAGTTTGATCTCACAGGAAGGTAAAGTTCAGACATAAAAATACTTAAATAAAATTAATAAGCAAATTATTCATTCAAACAAAGCAGGAAATAAATGAGAAATGTATGTCACCTGCAACCAATCCTGAACCCAGATGAGCCTTCATTGCTTAGAGCATCTTAGAAGGTTTCATATAAATAGTGGTTTTAAAAAGGGTTATTAACAATAATGCTTAAAAAGTTAAAGGACTGAGAAAATGGCTCCTTTCTGCCATGTAAGGACATAATGAGAAGGTGGCCTTCTCCAAGAACCGAGGCTGCCAGAACCTTGATCTTGGACTTCCCAGCCTCCAGAACTGTAAGAAGGAAACGTCTGTTGTTTACACCCCCAGCCTATGGTAATTTGTCTTTCTCTGAGCTTAGAAGACATGTGCCTAGTTTATAACACTGTGATCACAAATGATCCAGAAAACTGCATTTGGTTAAAGAATAAAGATCAATAATGATATATTTTGATTCAATTTACTTACGTCTGTTTGTCTATAACCTGCTTTATTCCAAATCAATGAATAATTATTTTGAAGCAATTTATTTATATCTATAACCTGCTTCATTCCACACGGTACTAAGACAGCTTTCCATTAAAAAAAAAAGTACATGTTCAGAAAAAGAAAATTCAGGAAATAGAAAAATTCTGTTTATTAACCTAAATTTAAATAATTCAAATTGCTAATCAACGACAATAGGATACCAGCATTGCAGCCAATTAGTGAGCTTTGTGTAAAATTGTAGGTTTTTTGGTCTTAATTTCTGTAAGACTATAAGTAAAAAGAAACTATTCCTAGTCTTTATAAACGTATTAACTTGCTTTTAAAATTTTTTAAATGTATTTTGAAATTTTAAGTAGTTGTAGTTGACTTCTTTTTTTGGCAGACAGTATTGGTTATTATAATTCTATATAGAAAAGAATTAGGCTACTGCACATACTTATTCTCAAACAAAATATCTGCAAACTTCCTCTCGTGTTATTATTAAAATAGAAGTAACTTAAGCCGATACAGTGTCATTAACATAATCTATACAAAATGCCAGAATGTGTCCTAGAATGAACATATAATTATACCAAAATAAATTATATTCTTCTTACCCTTTCCTACTCTTACTAGAACTGCAGTTGAATCTCCATTTCAACAGATTTTACCTTCAAGCTCAACTCAGCCTTCAGGTTCAACACTCTCCCAACTCCCCCATCACAAATACCCACCAGCCCAAGCTTGGATTCTAAAAAGTACCGTTAGGACACTGAAAGGGGGCTAGGGGGTGGGAGGAGTAAGACAGCCTGCGGAACTAATAAAGCCATTCTCACTATAATCGTGGTGTTTCAGGTGGTTGCAGTAAGTTAATGCTTCTTATTTTTGTAGTCATGGACTTTGAGAGTCTGATGAAACTTGATCTTCTCTCCAGGACTGTACATTACCCACAACACACAAATAATTCTTCATATACTTTTAGGGAACTGCAGACTCTCTGAAGCCTACCCAGGGGCATTCAAGTCCTTTTACTCTACATAAAAACATCTGAAATAAGGTGTAAGAATATTATGTAAATAAATTATTAAATCAAATCTATTTATTTCTCCTGTATGAAATATTTCTATATAAATAACACCAAAAAGAAAGGGGAAAAAACACACACATTTGAGAGTGAAAGGTCAAACAACAATCAAAGGAAAAATTTCCTTCAAGTATTTTTTTTTGGGGGGAAAAAAAAGTTCTTGGGGAAAATAACCTGCTTTTTGCTATTGTTTTGTGTGTGTGTGTTTGGATAGTCTCTTTTCCACTGTTCTTTAGTTCAAAGGAGGGAAAGTCTATGAAACACCTAAAAGGGCAACCATTATTTTAATGTTTCCTTGTAAAGATAATTCGTGTAGTCACTGCACAGTCACTGAGTTGCAGTGGAGAGTGCCAGCTGCTCTCACCAATGCAAATACGAGGTACGCTTGAATTTCTAAAGGAAAATGCTGCTGCTAGACATAACATTTTATGTCCACTTGACAGATCAAAGAGCTGTATTTTGGGGGAGGCCTATAGCATATGTACTGTAAAAGTATGTATTTTATTTAAAAATAGTCAAAAGAATGTAAAGTACAGCACAGGGAATACAGTCAATTACACTGTAGTAAGGACACATGGTGTCAAATGGGTACTAGACTTACGGGGAATCCCCTCATAAGGTATATAAATGTCTGAACACTATGCTGTGCACTGAAATTAATATAGTGTTGTATATAAGCTAAAACAGGAAATTTTTTAAAGTTTTAAAAAATATGTATTTTAATGTTTTGTGATGAGGTGAGTAACTTGCCTCGAGCTATACATATTCCTTCGCTACCTGGTCATGAACGGGTATACACTGGAATTCATAAATGAACCAAGGCAAATTCATTAGTCTCACTGGAGATGGGCAAACTTAGGAAATGAGCACTAAATGGATCTTTGGCATCTGAATCTCTGATCATTACCAGTTTATTTGATTCAGCTGAGCCATTCACACATTGATTCATCCATTCCATCTAGGTGATGAACTAGAGGCCTCATAGGTCTAAACAATCAGAGCTCTTCTGCCTTTGGGAAATAGTTGAACAGGCCTAACGACTTCATTTTATCAACATAATGCACCATTTTCCAAGAATGCTTTACTATATTCATCAGTATATAGGAAAGCACAATACTGGCATAAAAATGTAACAGGAGTTTCTATCCCTTTCAAGTCTAAGAAGAAGCTTTACGAGTACAGAGTAATGGTGGAACTTCTCTGGGACTACAGGTCTATGACAGACATATAATTGTAACTCCCTGCCATCACAGTTGGGAAAGCACAAAGCCTCTGTCCTGGAAGAAAAATCCGCCTGGCTTCACCCAGGACAACCCCTGCTCGGCATTCTTTCTTCCTGTCCGTGCTCACCCTGTCTCATCAACGCTCACACTTCACCTGCTGCTGCCTACATGAACCATATAACATGAAATGCAAATATGTACCTTTCTCCTCGATGCATTTCCAATAGCAATCCATTGCACTTAACAAACTGTCAAACATTTTTTAATAATTAAAAGAGCTAGTAGTTATTTCAAATGTATTCCTTTCCAAGCTTCACGCTATTAAGTGAAAGGAAAGGCCTTTATTAACCACCACACACAAAAAAGGATCAGTGTTTGGTGATTTAAAATAAATGAAAACAAAATAAAGAGATAAAAATCACAACCTCAAAGTTGCAAAACCAAAAACGCTATAGAATGCAGCATAAGTTGGCTTTGAATACACCAAATGAATCAGCAATCTATACATAAGATTGTATTTTATCTAGGAGAAGTCAGACAAAATTACTCTAGACTTTAGGATGGGTGGCATTAGGCAGCCTGCAGTGGATTCCCCATCATCCAGTGTTTGATTAGGCCATCATCAAATACTTGCAGTCAATCTTTGTAAACTCCTTTCACTGGCTGCTTATGAGCCCTTTCCAAATAATCTACTTCAGGGTCCAAAATTCTATTGAAAAGAATACCACAGCAAAGCATCAAGATTTTGTCTAAAATTTCAACATTTTATAAAAAAAAAAAAAAAAAAGCCAGTTTTAAAAGGTGCATCATTTCTTTGCATGGAAGGAATATCCAGTAATGTTCCTTGTTATCTGTTTTTCACCCAGAAAGCAAAAAACGGAAGCAGAAAAACGGAAGCAGAAAGGATCACAAGGTTTACCAAGAGAGTCAGTGTTTTCTCTACATTCCTGACCTGTTCTCTCATCCACTCCTACTGCCGTGACAGAGCCCAGAGGCACCCAGCTGTTCTTCAGCTTCCTTCTGCTATATTCTCAGGTGGGCATTTTTGGTTTGTGACCTTGCTTGTTATGAGGCCATGACTGACCACTATACTTCAGCTTGACACCGTTCAGGAAAGGCTGAGTTTGCACTTACACTGAAGTGGGATATGTGATGGGTTCCTGGGTGGGGAATGCAAGTTGGGTGGAAGAGAAAGATGAAGATAAAGACACGCAAATGTGTCTCTGGGGTCATTTCATAGGGTTTCCTGCTGGAAAATGCAGCCAGAAGTTAGGTAAGGATTTTGCTTGAAGTCCCTACAAACACTTCCAGTCAACTGTATGAAACTAATACCAAAAAATCGCAGATTTACCCTCTGTATTTCAAACCACAAAGCAATGAAGGAGGTTTTTTTGTTGTTTTTCCTTGAAAACGAAGAATCGCTTTAAGATTCTTCTTTAAAGCACGGATGTAATGTGATGCGTAGAGGTGGGCCTATAGGGTAGGACTGCAACCAAATGAAGGGCAAAAGACACAGAATTATCTTACTCTTGCTCAGTTCCACAGTGAAATTGCTGGTACCAGGCAACAGGAGTTCAGTCAACAACATTTGGACTGGGGAACAACTAAAAATTATTTGCAGGTAATATAAAGGCTATGATGGTGGTTAGGGGCAATGCAAATGACAGCCAATGTAATTTCAAAGATTGACTGTCCCCCAAGAGAGATGCAGGAACTGGAATTGAGTAGTGGGGGGAGAAAGCCAACAGCCCAGAAGCCAACACACCATATTATT